CTGTTTTAAGACTCAAAGGATGCCGTGCATTTGGCTAAGAGTTCGGCAGTCTCCAGGAACACAAAACTGAGACAGTTGTAAGTGACTGTGTATGGAACATTACAAATATCAAGACAGAATGTGTCTCTCCCCTTGTCATCCTGCTGTCTTTGAAATCACAAGAGCTTAAATAGCATTATACACTATTATAAAAACAACCAGCATCTTGCGTATGTTCTATGGTTTTGGAGTTTGCTCTCACCACCCAAGATTCCCTGCTTTGCTCCCAAGGTAACCAAAGACAGGAAGGAACAGTGAGGAAGAAGACCTTTCACAGGGTTGAGTTTAAAATCTTCATTTTAAAAGTTTTAAAAACCAAGTAGTTAAAAGCATTAAAGTAAAGCATTAAAAACATTACTTTTTAGTATATTCCATCGCAGAAGAAACAAGTTAACAAGAAAGTTAAAGTCATTTTTGTGTGTCTGGTATCAACACATACTTTTGTGCTTACTGACAGTCACGGAGTAGAAGGATCGTATCATATTCTTTCTATGCAATGTGCATAAACCTGCATGAACAAAAAATTAAGTCTACCTCAACTTTACACTGTCTTCAAACGTAAAAAACCATCATCAGCTGTTTTCTGTCCCTTTATTGAAGCATCAATTCCAGATTATGGTGTGAAGTTGGATCTACCCTGCTTGAAAAGCAAAAATTTAAAACACACCAACCAGCTGCTAGACTAGATCATGGGTGTAATGGAATTTTTAGCTATATGCCAGAGAACTTCTAGGAAAATTATATCAAAATCAGGCAGTCGCTAGCACATACTTACAAGATAGACATTGCAAAGTCATTTAACAGACAGAATAAATGTACATAATCTATTTCCTTGTCTTGCTTTCCTCAGCACCCCAGACTGTTGCTTAATAAATTTAATCAGACCTGAGCCCAATGGGCCAGCAGTTCTTTGTAGATTTTTGTGTGAATCAATCCTGAATGTCTCCTCCACAGGGAATTTCCTTCTTCTCTAATGATCAATAAAAAGACCAGTTGTATTTCAACACCTATGCTATGAGAACATATGCCTCTGGTCCCCTCCCCAGGCTGTATTTCTTATTTCTGTGAGTTCTTCTTCACTTCCCTGCACTTCTCAGGCTTTGCAGTTTTCTTAGGGTTACTATAACAACAACAACAAAAAAAAATAGACAAAACCATCTCACTCCTCACCAAATTTCCATATGCAGAAGACTGCTTTCCCTCACCTCTAACATAAGACAACATGAATGACAAACATCAGGATTTCCCAGGTCTCATCTGTCCCTCACCTGGGAGATCTTTTACACAGCTCTGACAGAATGGGAATAAATACCCGTACAACAAGGTATTCAGTGACATAGCAATTGGATAATTCCACTTAGATGGTTTAAACTAAAGCTTATTTCCACTGTGTTGGTATTATTAAGACCTACGAAGCCAAAGTACTCCTATTATGGAATTATTATTGGATACATACATAGACTCATAAATACACAGTTATGAGCTTTATGCATAAAATATTTTCTCCTTTTCATAAAATTACAAGAAATGAAAAAAAAAAACCAAACCATATTAAAAAAAAAAAAAAAAATCTATCTTCTTGCTCTTGGTTGGTTTTTTTAGAACTCAACTTGGCAAGTCAAAACTGTTGAACACCAGAGTTTTGTAGAGCTATCCAAATATATTTTACCCTTCCGCGTCATTAAAGTAACAAGCATCTTAAAGCTATGTATTCTCTGCATTCACCTTCATTCCAAAGGATTTTGCAAACACCACAGTACATTCGTTTGATACCTACTGATGGAAAACAACTGTCTCCAGGATGATTGCAACGATTGCCTATAGTAGCATAAACAGTATAGAGGAATGCAGGGCAGGAAACGAGGAGCACACCAGAGCCAGCTGTAACTGCAGGAGACATGTTTAGGTTGCCGGTGTAATTATCCAAGCTGGAATTTTGCCAGAAATATCAACTGGCAAAACACGGCCTCAGTTCATTAATCCAGCTCTTTATGTCACTAAGCTACACCTATCGTTTCACATTGCTCCAAGGCCGGTCTACTTTCCACAGCTCGTGTGTGCTAATCACAGAATCCCAGAATGGCAAGGGTTGGAAGGGACCTCGGGAGATCATCTAGTCCAACCCCCCTGCTAAAGCAGGCTCTCCTGGAGCATTCTACACAGGACTTCGTCCAGGCGGGCCTTGAATATCTCCAGAGAAGGAGACTCCACAGCCTCCCTGGGCAGCCTGTTCCAGTGCTCTGTCACCCTTAGAGTAAAGAAGTTTTTTCTCATATTCAACTGAAACCTCCTATGTTTCAGTTTGCACCCATTGCCCCTAGTCCTGTCGCTGGACACCACTGCAAACAGACTGCTTCTATCCTCATTACTTCCGCCCTTAAGATAACGGTGTTTGGTGCCTCCTGTTCTCCTAAGTATGGGCTCATGTTGTACAGACCCAAAAAAGCTGCTCCACTTTTCTGACAGACTTTTTTCCTCGCCTGCAGTGTTGACAAAAGATGAACGCCTGTATCGTTCTGTGTAATACTGTGTAAGATCTTTTTTTCTCTCTGCTTCCTGCGTCATTGTTGAGCTTTTTAAATACAGATTAAAAAAAAAAAAAAAAAAAAAGAATAAAGGGCTTATCATCAATTAAAAAGTCAGAAATTCAATCAAGAAGGAAACCAAAACTCTCCACAGCAAATCCTCTCAGATGCCTCTAGCTTTACAAAGCAAAAATCTACAAAGAAATCGGTTAACTAATATAAAGCTCTAATCATAAAGATTTTAAGCAGCTCTGATACCATGTTAATGAACGTGGTATATTTGCCTAGATCAGAGAGCATGCAACAGTTTAGGCCGATGACTTAAACCCAGGAGAAGGGTCCTTGGGAGAAGCAAGCAAAACTGAGTCAGCATCGCAGCCCCAAAGGGCACTCGCGTCAGTGCTGAAGATGCTGTACTACAACTTGCCATACAAAATAAGTAATGGAAGCAACGGAGGCTGAAGTAGTTAACAGATGAAGATGCCTGCCAGAACAACCAGGCATGAGCATCATAATTCTAAATAAATAAAAAAAAAAAATAGTAAAAATAATAATAAAAAAAAACCAACCCAAAAACAAAACCAAAAAACCCCCCCAAAACAACTAAAACACCCAACCCCACCCTCCCCACCTGAATACTGGCATAACACTGTACGTAGAGTATACAGCAAATACTTGACTTATTATGATGTACTGGCAATTCAATATTAAAAGAAAAAAAAAATCAACACATAGGAATGGGAAAACAGTGAAACTAAATATATACGTAGTGGAGAGGAGGAAGAAACAGCCTCAGGATAGAACAGACTGGCATACTCACAAATCACCATATATGTGTACAGGATTTGAACCCTGCCTGCTCCTATGATCATTCGAGTCCAATTTTCATTAACTGAAAAAAACATCATGTGAGTGCCGGGGGCCTAACTCACCGAAAATCAGAATTTTATACCTAAATCCTTTAGACTCCTTTCAAAAGCTCAGCTGGAGATCTGCCAGTCTCGTTCTGAAACCCAGGACTGATGATGCTGGCAGATGGTATCTTTAGATTATAGGATTTACAATGGAAAAAAACCTAAAGGGTACTTAATTTTGCTGCAATAAAAGATAATTACAATCAAAGTCAATAAAAGGGAAAAGTTTTGTTATAAGCATATATTGAAAACATATTTTTCCCCTACTACACATGTAAATATGAAAGCATCTGACACACATTTTACCTTTTGAAGGAAAACTGTCAGAAGACATCCATGATATTATGAATGTCCATGATATTTCTAAAATTGCAAAGCCTTATTTGAAAGCAGTTTTCTTATAAGACCAATTTAAACTTCAAATATTACATCAAGCAAAACCAGGATTATTTCTGCCAGTAAAGAAAATGTTATTATCCCACACCTGAGTCCAATGCCCAACCAGGCAATTTTCTGTAACACTGCGTATCCTGAAACTTGCAGTTTAACCTATGCAGTATGCAAACTAATGTTTATATTTATCTTGTTATCACCATCGCCCAGAAAAAAATCCTGGGTTTAATATTGCTGTATATTATGTGTATGTATTGCTGTATATTATATATATCTGTATATTTTCAGACTTTGATAACCTTTGTATATATCTCAATATATACCTGAAACCACAAGAAATTCCATACTGCTGTACTATTTGATTGACAATTGTTAGATTGTCCAGCACTGTATGCACCATAATCCTAATTGTACATTTGCATCCACTGGCTCTAAAGCACTGCTCAAATTTGGCAAAGTGAAGAACCATGTCATTTTGTTACACAGCAGATAAAAAAAGCAAGTGGGACACCAAACAATAAGCTTTGGCACTGGGCAGCACGGCTGCTGAGTAATATTTGAGTTTGCTATTTTGTGATAGAACAGGAAAAAAAAAGCCACTGTTTTTTACCAACGTTAGAACATTCAGAACATTCTTTATATACATGGCTATTCACAAAGGGATCGCTATTTGAATATATATGGCATATCACAGATATGCTGTAACACAGGACATAGTTTTAACTCCATTACCAGAGCAGCTGATACACTTGTTTTGGAAGAAATCTTGAAAAGCAGCAAATAGAAGTCACCCGGTGAAGCATTTTGGTCCACGTACCTTGTTTGCGTACATCCTCTACAGCAGCGACCAATTCCTCCTTGAGGTCCTGGCTCTCTTTAGCAATTTGATCTCCTTTCTCTAGAAAGTTTTGCGTGGCCTGCTCTACTGAAGCAGCCAAGACATGAGCCTTCTTAGAGCGCCCTTTCTTTTTGCCGGATGGTCCTTTATTGCTTGTGTTAACAAGGGTTGTCACCTTTGGGAAAGAAAAGCAAGGGTTTGTCAGTTGGAAGGACTCTTCAACTCTTAAGAGCACAATAAAGGGACGCCTAGTTCAATAACTCCACCATTTTCTATACCTTTGAAATGATATCGTGGTCACACGTATTGAATAAATAATTTTTTACGTTTAAAATCCAAAGCACGGCAGCGACATACCTCAAAAAAGGTTTTTCTTTTAACCTCTATTTAGTCTGTGTTAAGCAAAATCACAGTCAAGCAGGGAAGGAGAAAAAGATAAGAAACAGGTATGGAAAGGCATTGGTGCTAAAGGACCGGTTTTGTCATCATTTTTCATTTAAAAAGAAAAGAATAAGCCCAGAAAATGAAAACCTAACACATACGGGTCAGAAACCATTCACAAAGCAATCATCCCTTGCGATAAGTACTGTCAGATGCATTCAGCTGGCGACACAAATATTGTGTCTGTTTTCCGGACATTAAGGAATGAATAGCTCCTGCTGCCAAGATGACACAGGTTAGAACTATCCCGTCAAGTATCGCTCCTGCATATTTATAATCTATTGGCATAAGACACCAGCAGAGAGTCAAATGATCTCACTTTCTCCCCAGGGTTTAAAAATAAAAAAAATCTGCTTCCACGTTTGTTGAATCCCCTAAAGGAATTCCTTATCAAGCTGTCGATAAACCGATTAGAAACTTTAACCACGAAGCTTAACGATACAGCACGGTGTATATACCCCAGCTTTTTGCCGGACCCAAAAAAACCTTACAATGCTCCACCACCAGGACAAGGCCGCCTTTCTGTAAAACAGGAGCCCCACATCGGATATCAGCAGGTGTTAAACGCATGAGATAACAGCAAGGGATCCATAACGCTCGGGGGTGCATCTCGCCCTAAGCAGGGTGCAAAGCAGGGCAGCAGAAGTGACGTCGCGGCGTGCTAACCCAGAAAGGCACTGTAAGAAAATCCAAGCCTTTGCAATAAAGACAGAGCACTACAAAGCACAAGAGAGAGAAGAGGAGGCTGAGGGGAGCCCTCATCGCTCCCTACAACTGCCTGAGAGGAGGGGGGAGCCGGGGGGGTCGGGCTCTGCTCCCAGGGAAGGGGCGATGGGACGAGGGGCACCGGCCTCAAGTTGTGCCAGGGCAGGGTGAGGTTGGCCATGGGGAACAATTCCTTCCCCTTGGGGCTGTCAGGGGCTGGAAGGGGCTGCCCAGGGAAGGGGTCGAGTCCCCAGCCCTGGGGGGATTTAACAGCCGGGCAGAGGCGGTGCTGAGGGCCAGGGTTTGGGGGTGGGATGGCAGGGGTAGGGGAATGGTTGGACTTGATGATCTTAAAGGTCTTTCCCAACCTAAACGATTCTGTGATTCTATGATTCTATTTCAAAACAAAGTGTAAAAATTCACTGTCATCCCATCCCTATTACAAGAAGCGTGACAAGGCGCTTAGTACAGTCCTGACTGAAGAGCCCTGTGTCATGTTGTTTGTGCTACATTTTTTTGCTCTGTGAGCTAGGGGTTTGTTTGTTTGTTTGTTTAAATCACATCTGAAAGCTATAGACTGGGGATGGGGAGAGAAAAAAGGAAAAAAAAAAAAAAAATCAGGGTTTGAAAACACCATATGCATATGCATGGATGTATCAGGTGAAAAAATGCATTCCAGAGCTTGCTGTCAGGAAGGAGCCTGCCTGGCTACAGGAAGGTAATATTCTTCCATCATCTGGGTTTTTCCACTATTTGTATTAAGAAATAACATTTTCTTTATTAGTTTTACATGGTAATTATTCCTCATGAAATTTCCTGACGATCTTCAGTCTATTTAAGGATTTTTGAATTTTATAAATAAACAAATGAGGCTACCTCTGTAACCTAACTCGGGTTTAGCACATTGAATGGATTTGTCCGGCACATCATCGGGATGACTACAAAAAGCTTTCACATACAGAAGGCAATAAAATCATGTAAGCAGATGCTGAAATTCACATAGGAGACCTGAAGATGAAGAGAATAATGTCGGAACTTAATTATTTAGACATATTGAACAAACTAGAACTAGAGTGCCAGAACAGTTCAGATAGTATAGAGAAGAAAAAAATCTGAAGAAAAGGTGGTCAATAAATTAAGTCAAATCAGACTGTTTCAGAGATCTCCATTAGATAGATGCAGGGGTCAATAACTAAAAAAAAAAAAATGCTTGAACTAGTGCAAACACAAAGAAATTGCAGCTGGCAGAAGAACTGCTGAAGTCCTGTGAAGACAAATAAATTAGCTGGATTGCACTTCCTTGGGTACCCTAAAATATTAATTTCCCATTGAAAAATCATCAAAATCGGTGTTCCTGGACTGTAAGTCTGCTCCTTCTGTGCACAATTTAACTGTCAGGCCAGATTCTTTTCACCTAACTCTACCTACAAAAAACTTACACGTCTCTTGTAAGATCATCACCAAGTACTGCACTAATGCAGTCGATGAACAGGAAGAGGGACCACAGAATATGCAGAATACAATAAATTTGTGCCTACAGATAGACAGTCAATGAGATGTCATGGATGAGGACGGGAAACTAGAAAACCAGATGGAGAACAAATAGGTATTACGTTGCCAAATTAAGTAAAATGAATCCTGAGTAAATATTTTACTATGATCATCTCCAAAATGTTTTGGAGGTACATATAAATATGTATTCATAGAGTTAGTGTATGTGTGTGAGCTCTTTAACAAGACATTGCTACGTGTTGGATTTACTACTACAACAACAGCCTCAGCAGAACCAACAAACCATTTTATGTACAGCCCTCATAACACAACAGTTATCTCCAGGCAACTTTAAATAAAATGTACTTAGACAGAAAAGTAAATATCCTGATTTAATTTACACCAACTGCACCGAGTGACAAGAGAGGCCTTTCTCCTAAAACCGCTAAGTATCAGGCAAGCCCTGCAAAAATCCATTTCTTGAATGGGTAAGCATGTAATCTGCAGAGGAAAAATAGTAACTGATTGAACATACATTGATTTTAATTAGGTGCCTTTTGTTTAATGGGAGCTGGCTGGTCATCAGTTATCAATGTTTGGGGTTTTTTTTCAAGCAAGCGTATGGACAAACATCAAATTCAGATTTTCTTACACAGTCAGAGTGAAGTACGGGTGTCTGTAACCCAGACTACGGAGAGCGGTTTGCTGAATGCCAAGAAGGGATGAGTTAGGAGATGGGCACCTTATGCAGAAAGCTCTAAGGTGGATGCAAGGACACATCACAGGTGCAATTAAATCAAGAGCTGAGAAATAAATATTGATCTATTTTGGCCCACATACTCAGAGCTTTCTCTCCCCATTCCTGTAATAAAACTAAGGAGTTCTCAAATTAACTTAATAGTATATTTTTTACAAGAGAAACAGACAAAAAAATACATCTATATCCATTTAAAAAAGATAAAGGGACCCTTTTGGGGGTTGGACTAGGTGACCTCTAAGGGTCCTTTCCAACCCAAAACATTCTATGATTCTATGAAGAAAGCTGAGGGTGGTTTGCTTTTAAAGAAAGTATGCTCACAGCAAATATTTCTTCCAGCTTTAAACAGTGCCTTTTCTAGCACATTGGCATCTAATTAGGGACAGCTACAGAAAGGCAAACAATTCTAAACCACCAGAAAACAATAAGGAAAGTTTATCAGAACTTCCCAAAATATATGAATATGTTTATAAATTAAAATAAATTATTTAGTTGCATTTTCTTTAACGCTTTTTTAATATAGGACAATTGCTTTGTTGAATGCTGACTTATATGCAGAAATACAGAAAAATCACTCAAAGGTGTCTACCAGTGATCGAATCTTCTCAGTAAAGGATCTCTGTATATAATCTGTGCAGAGCAGATGTACGTGCGCAGGTCCTAGAGGGGAAGAGGAACCAAAGTGGCCTAAAACCTTTGTGAATTCACTGAGCTGCTACGGGTCCAGAAGTAGCACAACGCGTAGGAAATTCCTGATTGCCACAAAAGACGGGGACTTTTGCTACCACTTCTTAAAATAGACAGGTAGAAAGCAGCATCCGCAAAGGAAATCACCTTTTCCAAAAGGAAATGGTGGACTCTCCTGGATCCCAACTCCCTCATAAAAGTATTGATGCTGGGTTTTTTATTTGTTTTGTTTCTAGCATTAAAAAAGAACAAAACACAAAAAAACCAACCATAAAAAAGCCTCTATCACATCAAAAGCTCAGACTCAAATATAATCATGAAATCATATAAGATGTGCTAGCAGGAGAGCACAAATGGTGCTAGAGACACTGTTTACCAATGTACCTCAATGACTGGTAAATCTGAAGCAAAGGCTTATCCATTTTAAACTAGGGAGATCTACAAGCACGGAACACATGAACAGCAACATCTCACTATCTTCTGAACAGCAGCATCCAGATGCTGGGGGGTTTCTTCTTCCTTTATTTTATTTTGCTTACAAGGAGGTGACCTGGCACACACAGGTAAGATCATTCACATAAAAATGAAAAGTTGAACTGGACTTTCAGATCAGTTTTATATACATTTAAATTCCATTGAATACAGTAAGAAGAAAATGAATGAATGCCTCTTATAACTACGCTGGTTACCATTCTCAATTTATTTTTTTTTTTTTCTGGTATGTAGCTATTTTAATGTAGTTCTGCAATCTGAGATTAGTACAATAATTAGGCCATATTGGGGACATTCCTGTCTGGAAATATTCATGGGCTTATAAGAAACCCTAGTAGCCTACTTTCTGGTTTCTAAATATTTCTAACCCTGGACTTCTTGTTTGTAAGATTTAAAAGCAAATGGAGATGCTCTAGTTCCTGATTTTGTTGACAGAATCCACTTCAGTAGTCAAAATGACTGGTGACTGGACAATTCTTTTTCTCTTATACTCTAGGTTAGGAGAACACCAGCAGCAGCAGTTAAATTTGTCACATTTCTATTAAAAAAAAAAAAAATTCAACTTAAATGTCAGGAACTTTAAGATAGACCTAAAATGGTTT